ACACACACACTCACACAACACACTGTCCTTCACCCCCCGTCTCTGTTCCAACACACACACACACACCATTTTTGCTCTCTGCAGCATGTCCTGCCGGATCGCGGTCTGTTGTGTACAGTACAGTCATCTGTTTATGAGTCACTGACCAACGTACAGACATACTGCACCTTGCTGCCTCAGTGTATTCTCACTAGAGCTCAATGGGTATTTGTTGGGGAAGAAACAAAGCAAAGGCAAGCATTACAAAATTTACAGTAACTGGGCAAACTGCAGAATTAGGCTGTAAACTTAAAAGGCGAGAAGCGGAATATCGGATAAAAAGAAATCATGAGTGGCTGTGTAATGAATGCATGGATGGATTCATGGTTGCACAGATGGAGGGTTGGAAAAATCAATACTTACATCGTCTGGTGTAACCCCCTGCGCATTACTGCTTTTCTTCATCCTGAGGGATGTTCAGCCAGACTCTCCCTCTCTCCCTCTCTCTCTCTCTCTCTGTCTCTAATCCACTCTCCGAAGACGTAGTTCTTTCCTGCTTCTCCTGCTCTGGGCAGCCTCACCAGTACGCCTGCACATGGGAAGCAGAGGAGGGTGGGGGCAATGATATAAGGTATCCAGTTCCAAAAGTTATTCTGCCTCCCTCACAGTGAATATCATGTCTGCAATTCTTGACCGACTTGCGTTATTGTTCTGGCTTGGGAATGCAGTTCTGTGTGCAGTAATCTGACAAGTCTACACTGTGTTGTGTGTTTGACAAAAAAAGCAGACATTACATGGACTGTGATGGATTACCTATCTCAGCAGTTACAAGTTTGTACAAGTAGACATTCATACTGTAATGAAATGAATTTAAACACACCTTCGAGGCAGAAAAAAATACAGGAAAAAGGTAAAAACCGACCTGTATGGCTTGGAACGTTTTCAATATTAGTTCCAATAATGTTATTTTTAAGATTCGGTATCAATAGCAAATATATACTTTTCTTTATACCTTATTTTAGAAACATTTGAGCCATGCTAGAGATATGGTGTCAGGGATGGCAATGTTGGTCTGTTGGTCCACCACCTTATCTCTGACTGACTACTAGATGGATTGCCATGACATTTTGGACAGATATTGACTGATCCCCTAACTTTTCTTTTAGTCTTTTTCATTTTAAGTTAAATATCTTGAAATAATGGATGGATGGCCATACAATTTGGCACAGACAAGGATGTCCCCACAGAATTAACTGTAGTACCAAATGTTAGCATTGTAATACACTAAACTAAGATGGGGATGGCAAACGGTGTACTAGCTAAACATCAGCATGTAAGCATGTTGACGTAAACATTTAGCTCAAAGCAGCACTGCGCCTACTCTAAGTAGAGTCTAAAAGCCATAGCATAGCTGTAGACTCCATATTTTTTCTTTAAACAGAATTTTAATTAAATTTTCAAATTGGAAACATTTTGATTTGAATCTAAAACATTCAGAGTAGGTTTAGAAATGTTACAAACCTGAACAGACATTAGATGCCAGCTTTAAGTTCTTAATTGGAAGGTATTTTAGGCCGGTCCTGTCGGTCAGCCTCTTCTGAATGCAGTGACTCTACACTCATCAATTATAGAATCACCACAGCGGGTGGAAAAGAGCCAACACACAGACATGACTAACTAATCTATGAGATCTATATTTTCCATGTCACTATTGACACCCCCCGGACACCTCCCACCCCCCTCCTGTGTTCCCCTCACATTACCCCTTATTTGGCAGGCGCTGTGTCCTTCTGTTAAAGTCAGTGAAGGACTACTGGTGAGGGAGGCTGTTGTTGGTGCTTACCCGCTGCTGCCAAGTCAAGTGGCATGAAAAGACAATTTCTCAGCTGCACAAACAGCCCAATGTTGTTCGTAGCTTTCCAAACATACAAACATCTACATGCTGCTGCCCTTGTGAACAGAATGACGAGATGTGAAATGACAGATCACACGTGTTTTAGTATGTAGAGAATCTGTAAGATAAGTGGGCTGATGGTTCAAATCTCAGTAGGAGGGAAAAGTTCTCAATAATGTATAAGGTTGCATAGATGTGTCTATTCTAGGTTTCACAAGACCATCATTCAAAGTCTTCATACTTCATGACACAGAGGTCTCAAGTAGATGTTTAGGCTGTGGTGGTTATTGTAACCATAATTATACAGGATGTATGATGATGATGATAGAAAAAGATAAAGCTGTAGATAGACAAATTGAATGTAGAAACAGCCGACAAAAGAGTTAGTATTTTAATGCTTGTAATTTTTTTTTTTCAGAAACTTGAACTGACAGCCATTTTCTGCTGCTTTAATTAAAAACAGCCTCCATCTGTGCTGATATCAATGTCTCTGTTAATAGAGTAAGAGTAGTAGACGGCCAATATACAAGTATGATTATCAGTCCAAGTAATCTCAATCTTATTCATGTGCCCAAGTACTAAAATAGTTCAGCATATACGGTAATTGCATCAAATATTCTAACAACCCAGGAAAATAGTGTTGTTTAAACAAGACTGCGATTATGTGAGGCCACACTTAGGCTTATCATGTTAATGTTTAGGTGGTATAATGTTTACCGTGACTGCAATCTTAGTTTAACGTGTAGAAATCTTAACATTTGTTAACATTATCCCTTTATACAAAGTACAGCTGAGGCTAATGGGAATATGATAAGTTTTGCAGGTATCAAACATACTGAAATTCTGATCTGACGATGGCTCTATGTGAAAAGTCAGGGAATCACCAAAGATATTTGGTGAGATATATGGTGGCGTTAGATGAAATTCAGGGATTCATCAAAGTCAGTAGGATTCAGCCTGTGGAGGACATGTTCAAACACTACGCTAATGCATGACATGGCAATCCATCCAATAGTCGTTAAGCTATTTCAGTCTTGACCAAAGTGGCACACCAACCAACCAGCATTGCCATACCTAAACCCATTCTGCTAGTGTAGCTAAAAATTTAAAGTTAATTTATACATAAGGTCTTGGCTCTTTCAGATTATACTTAAATTAAACTAAACCCATTTACCAAACTATGAACTTCTCAAACAGCAGCATTTCAGAAAATATTTTCCTTGCCATTGTACATCATGGTCGTTCCAAGTTACATATCACTTATTAGTATCAGTGCTGCTTGCCATAAAAACTCTTTGCTCTGGGTCCTTCCCTAAAGGTCAAGCTGTTGCAAATTATCACTGGATGAATGGGCCCCGGAGCCGAGAACTTCTTTACCAAACGAGCAGAGAAGATATCCAGCAAAAGGTTATTTCAAATCATCTCATGTAAGTCCAGCAATGATGGGCATGATTCTACAATTTTAAAGCTTTAAGAATATTAGCACAATTCATCAGAGGAAGAGTCCAGAAAGGTCAGTGTGTCCTTATGCTATCTAAGACACTAGGGAGCACTTGCACTATGTACACCATACCGAAATGGCTCAATAAACTGTAACTGTGTAGCTGTGTTTTGTAACAAGCAGACAGGGGAGCTGTAAGACCACTTATTACGAATTCAGGTGGCATACACCATTTAATTGTTTGTTTCTGTGCTTCAAAAGTTAGTTTTCGAAGGTTGTGGTATCTCCATGGACTGGACTAGTGCGAGGAAAACATCACAGCTCCAGTAAACACAACATAGTACACTGTTCCACAGCCTGGATGGTTTAATGTTGGACAGAAACAGACCTGGGACTACTCACACAGTCTTATACGAATGAGTATTTGTATCTCTTAATCATCAACACCATGGATATACACTTCCCATTCAATGAACGTTATATCCACAGTTACAGTTCCATAATAAAATAGGTGAATAACATTGAATGGTATGTTTGTCAAGTCACTAGAGTTAGTTACACTGCCAGCTTGGATTTTAATCAGTATGAGTGCAAGTGTGTGAGCTATTTTGTAGGGCTGAAACTAATGATTTTTATGATCCATTAATCTGCTGATTCAATCAACTGATTGTTTCATCTAGAAAATTACAACAAATAGTAAAACAAAAATGGCTATCAGATTTTCTCAGAGCCCAAGGTAACATATTTTTTTGTTTAACCGACCAACAGTTCATATTAAATTTATAATGAGAAATGATTACATTTCTTGTAATTGACTTAGATGGAACTGCCAAATGTTTGGCATTTTCACTTTATAAACAAATTAAACACTTAATTGATGATCAGTTGTCAAATCATCATTCATTCCTGACTTTATTTGGGTAGTGACACCATTAGAGACAGGAAACCAGAGAGACAAATTAGTTTAGCGTCACTATTCTGTCAATCTCCCAGTTTGTAGCATACTGCCTGGCTAAACATATTACTGATACTTATATTGCACTGGGCTTACTAATTGGTTGCTTTTCATTAGGATCTCTTGTCAGTGTTTTGAATATATCTATAATAGTTTGGAATGTTTTTTTAAAAGGTTGGACTGCCAGCACATGGTTGAGCTCTTTGAAAGTACACATCAGTGATTACCTTTGAAGGTCATTATCAACAAAAAACCTTCACTATTATACAGAATGATTCACAAAGAAAGTAAGAATGTTAAAGGAAATGAAATTAAAATGGTTACAAAATAAAAGCTTTTTCCTTGTCATCAGCACTTCAGTGAAAAGGTCAGGAAACTGTCAGTACATCCAGGAAAGAAGTTAGCTTCTCTGAAGAGCATTTAAAGCGAAACCCCAAGAGAGCCACTCAAAACAACAAAGATCATTGGACAAAAGACACTGGATTGATAATGCACTCCTGCTTCCACTTTTTACAGAAACAAAACCCCAAGTAACCTCTCATCTCAGTAACCCCAGCAGTAGGTCATCCCCGTGGCGGCTGCCTGTACCTCTACAAATAATTGGTTATTGATGTGAAGCAGGCAACAGAATGCACGGTCATGAGGCAGCACTCGAGATGCTGATTGTAAGGATTTGGCTCGGATTTTGAAGAGAACACCAGGGATCACTGTACTGGGTGTGTATCACTGCAACTGAGAACAAAACAAACTTAAGCAGATTGCTTCTGCTTAATTACAACTCAAAGGCCATAGACAGACTTTGTTTTTGTATTTTCTTCCATTAAAAGGGGGGGCTTTAAAAGTATGAATTAAGTATGTATTAGCACAGTATGTATTCTCTGGGCACATGGGAGAGAAAAGGCTCCATATCAGATTAATCACCTGTGTCATTTTCCCAAGGAACACCAGATACCACATTGCATGGTGGGGTTTGGAGTAGAGTTGGGACTGATGTGATCCCGTATCTGGAGTTAATTTGTTATTATTCGTTAATGCGATTGCTGTTTATTTATGTGTGAGAATAAGTGAGACCCAGAAAGGAAGGTGAAAGACAGATGGATGTACAGAGAGGGGCAGCCATGCTGCTTGGAGCTTCCAAAATTAACTTTTTGGCTCATCTGCCAATGGCAGATAAACTGAGAAAACTTTACCAGCCATACACAGGCGTCATCTATTATTAAAATAAGCCAAAATTAATTTGATAAAGATCTCAGGGCCCCTGCGCTGCTCAGATGCCACCTCTCGCAAAAACTTTGACCT